TCCAAGATTGCCCAGGGGATTCCCCAGAGACCCGAGCAGACATTCAAGACGTCTCAGACCAACAACTCAGGCGCACGGTGACAGGATGGGCAGAAGGCCATTAGGAGGTGCGCACGAGGGGCACCGTGGCCCCATCATCCCTGTCCTCCTCTTGCTCTTCGTTTTCAAAGACTCCGCTTCTGCTCGTGCCCCTCCTTGTCCAGCCCCGGTGGGCCCTGGGCCTAAGACCGCCAGGGGCACCTGCAGGGTACGCTAGGGACCCCCTCCCCTCGAGGAGCCTCTTCGGGGCGTCTGCGCACCCTCCCCAGAGCGTTCCCCAACTCCGGTAGAAACTCCCGACGATTTGTTCCAGACTGCTCCAGGACTGCCCGACGTGGCCCCAAGACGGCCCAAGAGGCCCCCAAGACGCCCCAAGATGGCTCCAAGAGGGCCCCTTCGAAGTCCGATGCGGCAAACATCGCCCCATTCCTTTTGGGGAAAGCGTGTGTAGGTATATGTATGTATATATGTCTATATACACATGTATTTGGCATCTTCGTTTCTGCTGCCCCATCAGCGCCCCAGGCTGCTCTGAGAGGCCCCCCAAAGCGCCCCAAGGCGGCCGAAGAGGCCCCGAACAAAAACCACAAGAAACCCAGGACGGCGCCAAGACGGCCCAAGAGGCGCCAAAGACGGCCCAAGAAGGCACCAAGAGACCCGAGAGAGCACCCCAAACGCCCCCGAGCGGCCCCCCGATCGCCCTCGGCGCCAAGGTGGCCCACGGACCATCCTGGCGGTCCCCAAGAAGCCCCCCGAGTCGCCCGAGAAGCTTTCAATCAACTCCCACGAGGCCCTTAATAGACGCCCAATTGGCCCCCGTAGAGACTGCAAGATCTTCCTTGCACGCCTCCATTCCAAAAGGTGTACAAACACTCTCCCCCTCCTCATCATCCTCTTTCCCCTCCTCATCCCCTCCGCCTACTCCCCCTCCTCCTCCTCCTCCTACTCCTCCTCCTCCTCCTCCTCCTTTTCCTCCTCCTCCTCCTCCTTTTTCTCCTCCTCCTCCTCCTCCTCCTCCTCCTCCTCCTCCTCCTCCCCCTCCTTTACGCATCCCATTCCTCAACACACCTTTCTCCCTCACTTCGCCTCCTCTCTCTTTCATGCGCCCTCCTCCTTCATGCCCATCTTGCCTCCGCCTTTTTCCTCATACAACCCTGTTCCATACTCCACTCCTCGTATGTGCCTTCATCCGGCTCCTTTTTTTTCCCGCTTCCTCCTTCTCTTGCCTCCTGCCCTCTACCTCGTAAATTCGCCGTCCTGCCCCCTCCATCCTCCTCCCCGTCTCTGCTATCCCCCTGTCATCTCTCCTTCCTCCGCCCTGTCCCACCCCATCCTTCTCCCTATATATTTGCATCCCTTTGACCTCCCTCTACCCTCCTCCGCCTCCTCCTCCTCCTCCTACTCCTACTCCTTCTCCTCCTCCTCCTCCTCCTCCTCCTCCTCCTCCTCTTCCTCCTCCTCCTCCTCCTCCATGTTTGTTTTTGCGTCCGCCCCCATCCATCCACCGGCCCTCTTCCCCAATCACCCCTCCATACTCAGCTTCCGCCTTTTTCCCGCCTTCCTCCATCCTGCTCATCCTGCCGCCTCCCTCCTCTATCTTGCCTCCTGGCACCACCATCATGCATACACTGGAAGCCCGAGCCCAGGCACCCCAGGCCGCAGCACACACGGGGCACCGAGGGTCTCCTAAGTGGCGCCGCCCCATCCAGAGGCCTCCCCAGACACTCCCCCGAGTTTCCCTCGGAGGCTCGCAGAAGTTCCAAGAGGTCCCCACGACGGTCCCAGAAGGTTCCCAGGCTGCCCCGAGAAGCCTCCAGCAGCACAATGAGGCTCTACGAAGCCGCCAGAGTGCCCACACAGGATTTCCAAGAGGGCCAACTCAGTCAAACACCGAAAGAATTCACAGCATTTTTCCAGTTCTTTTCTGGATTTCCCACGTGGTGCGAACGTGTGGCTCCAAGATGGCCCCGGAGGCCCAAGTGTTCCAGAAGAGAGTTGCAAGATTGCCCACTGGCCTAGGACTGCCGCGAAAATCAATCCTCAATGCGATGCCGGACACCAGGGCGTGCGCCTCCAATCCAAGGATTCGATTATCTGGACACGTCCCTCTGACGCGCTATACGCTGGGCCCTATGGCAAGCAGAACTTGAGCGCGTGCGAAGCGCGCGCGATGGTTCTAGTATATCTATATTGGCGCTTGCGGTCACCGCGCGATGCAATTGTTCCCCTGCGTATGAATAAGTCGCCGGGAGCGCGCGTACACATCCCAGTGTTCGGTGCATTTCTTTAATACGTCTGGAGCTTTCTCTTTTCATCATGCTCTCTTTATAGATACGTATACAGAGAGAAATACAGACATTCCGCACCCGCTATATACAACTGGTTGTACATATGTACGCACGTATGTGTTTACCAACGGAACTTCGTGGTCACGCTACCTTGCGTAGGTCCCGCTTTCTTTCGTTCTCTCTCTCTCTCTCTGTACATACACTCGTGATCATCATCAACAATACCAACATCATCATCATCATCATCCTCATCCTCATCATCATCATCATCATCATCATTAACATCATCATCATCAGCATCATAATCAACATCATCAGCAGCATCATATTAACATGTGTTTGAATCGGTGATTTGTTGATCACCCCTCTTGTCGGTATGCACAGAAACCGGTATGCTTATATTGATATACACACCATCAGGTAGTATGTCCGTCATTCGGTCTCTCTATGTTTTTGTCTCTTGTATCTCTCTCTCTCTCTCTTTCTCGTTCTCATTCTCTCTCTCTCTCTCTCTCGGTTTCGCGTTCGTGCCGTGCGTGCGGGCGAGGCGAAGCTGCGCGGGCGCGCGAGAGCATTGCTGCCGCCGCTGCTAGGGACCGTGGAGCCGTTTGACCGCCCCCCCGCCGCCCGCCTGGCGCGCCGGTGCCCGGGGTGCCTCGTCGGTGGCGCGCGGGTGCCGCGTCGGTGGCGCGGGGTCCCCCGTCGGTGGCGCGGGGTGTCCTGACGGTGGCTCCGGGTGTTCAGCCGTGGTGTATCAATGGAAGCTCGTGAGATCAGTTGTGAGATCGATAGTCAGATAGACAGTGAGATCGGTTGCGTGATCGATCGTGATCCGGAGAGCGATCGTGATATCGAAAGATCGATAGTGAGATCGAAAGTGGGATCGATCACAACACATATTTGGCTGGGTTTGCCCCGTCGTGGCTGGGGTTGCCCCATCGTGGTGTCCCGATGGTGTCTCGTGAGATATCTTCTCAGAGCGACAGTGAGATCTCGTGTGAGCTCCATCGCGGCTGTGTCGCCTTCATTACAATCACCTTTATTGCTTCTTGCCATCGTGCAATGTCGCCATCTCATCGCCATCACAGTCATCGCAGTTGTTGTCAGTGGGGGTTCCTCATCCCCCCCCCAACCTCCTTATCACCCGAAGGGTGGTCGTATAGGTAAGGATGCCTCCCTCTCTCTGTCGACCTCTTCTTCAACCGCTCTCTCGCTATCATGTTGTTGTCTCTCTCGCTCTCTCTCTCTCTCTCTCTCCCTCTCTCTCCCTCTCTCTCTCTCTTTCTCTTTTTCTCGCTTCCCACGAAACTTCGCCATCTCTCTCTCTCTCTCTCCAAATCTCCCCTTTTCTGTTGCAGCACACTTGTTTATTCCACGTTCCTCTTTCCCGTCATCCCACCCTTTCTAATGGTTTCTCTCCGTTGTGTTGTTTCTTTATGCTTCTCTCTCTCGTTCGCTCGTTTTTTTGTTTGTTGTTTTCTCTCTCTCTCTCTCTCTCGCACTCTCTCTCTCTCTCTCTCTTCCCCCCTCTCTCTCGCACTCAGCCCGCCTGCATACAAGTATGTGCGTTTATACATTATGTTCACAAAAGTGTATATGTATGGAAAAGTGGGTATGCACATACATTATATATGTATATATATAGGTGTGTGAGAATGTACAGGCATACAGGCATGTGCATATGATCTAGAACAAGACGCTGTCTTTGCACATGTACACATGGATGCCTGTATACATTTATATACACATCTATACATACATATATGTACATACATAGCTGTAGCCATGCGTACGATTACACATACGCGTTTGCACATCGCGGAATGTTGTGTTACGGATGCGTGCTCTTCATCGGTATGGTGCAACTATACATGCAATGGAGAGGGATTTGGGATTCCTGGGGATCACTGATTTTGTATCCTGTCGGGGGGGCGCCAAACGGTTTCAAGGGGGGTGAACACATGTGACGAGAGGGCCCAATATGGCCCAAACATGATACAAGAAGTCCCGAAGATACCAACAAGATCTCCAAGGTGGCCTCAGTACGGTCAGAGAGGTCCCCTAAGTCGGTCTTAGGGACCGTTCGGGGCCTGTTGGTGATCTCGGTGACCGGTGTGGTGTGAGGTGCCATCTTGGGGGCTTCTTGGACCCATCTTGGATGCCTCGGGACCCGTCCAGGCGCGATTTGAGGGGGCCTCGTCTGTCTCAGATTGAATATTGAAACAGCAAGAATGATGATCACAAACGCACGCACACACACACACACACCTTACTTTTCTCTATGATTGGGGCCTCGCTAGCCCGTCCCAGGGGTCTCCAAAACGGCCCAAGAGGCACCCAAAACGGCCCAAACCTTCCAGGACGGTCTTTTGCGGCCGTCTTCGAGCATGTTGGGGGTTGGGATCGCTGTCATACTTCCGAGGCCTTTGGAAGCATCAAGCGGGGATTTCCAAGAGCGCGAGAGAGCTTGGGAGCGCCCAACAGCGCATGGAACATGGTGGTCTGGGCCGACTGTTGAGCATGTTCGATACTCCGCACAGAGAACTCGAAGGGACCTGAGGCTACGGCCCGTTGGCGGATATTGATGTCTCCCTCTCCACATGTATCTCTCTCCCCCTCTCTCTCAGGGTGATCCCCTGCTGTTTTCAGCGCGGGCTTCCTTGATGTGCACCGATGCCTGTGCTGCAGGCGACTCGACGAAGCCGGCATTCGCACAGCAGGCGCGCGTCCGCGGCTCGTGCTCTCTGCTGCACGCTTGCGGGTCTGTCCGCGGGAGCGGAAGAGGTGAAGAAGGATGAGGAGGGAGGAGGAGGAGCAGCAGCATCGGGGGCAGGGAGGCGTTTGAGCTGGACGGGCTACGCGGCAGTAGCCCAGCGTGGTCGGGAGATGGGGCAGCGACGGAAGAATCGCCGCGGATCCTCAATCCTCCGAGCTGCCTGCGAGGCCGCCTGTACAACGAGATGGGGAGGGGGGGAAGGAGGGCCACTGGGGGCCCCAACGAGCCATCGCTCGCAGCCGCTACGCTCGCGCAGTGGCTCCAAGGAAGGGCACCAGAGTCGTGACTCCAAGTCGTGAGTCGAGGCAACAGACCGCACAGTTTTTTTTGTGTGCTCCACTCATGAGTACGTAGGGTGCTCTGGGTACACTGCCCGACGTTGCCGGCTCATCAAAAAGCCGGACTTAGGTGCATCATATGAAGGTCATCTCAGCAGTGCCCAGTGCAGTGCGAGGCTCAGCCACCACCAGTGTAACCAAGAATCGTTCCACCGCGAGTGCACCCAGAACGAATGTTTCGCGCGCACGGAGGGTTCGCGTTCGGGTGCGGCGGGCATTCAGACGAGCTCAAATTGTGGGATTGCATCTTCGGCGGGGCCCCCACACGGTGATTTCGAGTAGTAATGAGGATATTTGTTGTGAGGGCTCGGCAAGTACAATACGACGGAAACAGCACGGGCATGCAGCGGCCACTTGCAGTTGGGTCCGCCAAGCTGGCTCCCGCGGCTGCTGAACCCGCAGCAGCAGATGCTGTCACCTCTGCGCTGAAGGATGCCGAGCCCAGCGAGAGAGGGCGCAATGCAGACGGCAGACATGGCCGACGATCCTGCCTTGGAGACCACGGACGCCACATCGTCATCAGAGACTGCATGTTGGCGACCAGAGCGGCGGAGGCCGAGGCCGAAGAGGTGCCAGGCTTTTGCCCGAGGCATCGGGGCCCGAGGCAGCAGAGGCCGCGGCCATCATGGCAGCCGAGGCCGCCCAGGCTGCATCCACTGTTGCGGAGCCCGCAGCAGCACGAACCGTCGCCCGTGTGCCCAAGGCCACGGAACCCACGGCAGCAGAGGCCAGCGGCAATGGCAGCCGATGCCGACGAGATTACCCTGCAGCTTGGGGAGCCCAAAGCAGCAGAGAACCACGCAGGCCGATGCAGCCGAGGCCTGCAACCTGGCACACGAGGCCGCAGAACCCAGCGCAGCGGCGGCTGCAGTGCCCACGATAGCAGATGACACCCAGATTGCCTCGGGGCTGCAGGCCCCGCTGCCGCAACGGCCGCCGAGCCTGCGCCCGTGGTCGTCGAGCCCGCCGCGGCAGTGGCCGTCAGTCCTGCGCTAGATGCTGTGGATTCTGGTTTTGCAAACCGAGGCGGCCGAGACCAACGACATTGTCCCCGAGGCCACGTACACAAGGCAGCATCAGCGCCGCAGCAGGAAGCCAGTGCTGAACGTGTTCGTGCGATCGTGAACAACACCTACCGCGTGTCAATACCCCATCACACTCTGCGGAGGATGTGCTGTGTGTTGCGCGTGTGATTCGCCTTCAGGTGCGGAAGGAGCTCTATGAACTCACGACGGCAGCGGGTGGTGTGTTTCTGGCCCAGTAGAGTGGGAAGTATCAAGGCAACCAGCGCACGCAAGGGAACAGCATGGCCTCGTTTCTCACTCGACCGCCGCGCCGTTCCAATCCCGAGTATCGCAGCTGCAGCACAGCAGCCAGCTTAAAAGCAGTTGTTTTCTGCACGTAGAGCCGAAATCGATGATAGGTAGGAGTCACCTTCCCAAGGGCATCCTTGCCTTGTTTGTCCATCCTTCACCACTTTCGATGGCCAGCCCCGCCCGAAGAGCCTCGACATGGGCGTGCAATGGGCTTGCCTCCTAGCCGCGCATCCTTCTTGCCAGTTCTTGACCGTATGTCGGGACGAGGGCGGGGTCGGCAACTCCCGCGGTCGTGCTGCCAGCACGCGAGGGAGCCCGCGCGGTCACTGGAGACCCGCGGCCCTTCGCAGGCGGCGCGCGACTCTCCCCACGAGGCCGTGGGCCCCGCCCTGCGCGCGGGGGCTCCGTGCCGGTTCCCTTCTTGCCGTTGCACCCGCGGTTGGCTGCCGTTGCTGTCGCCAAGTTCTCGGGTGTGCATCACCGGGGTCAGAGGAGGAGAGTGTGGGTTCCTGATGCCGCCACCCGTCCCCCGGTTTCCCCCCTTGTTCGGCCTCCCGGGAGGCCCTCGTCGCCACCGCGGGATTCGTCTCGAGGTTCTGTGCGGAACGCACCCCAGGAGAGGTCCAGGGAGTAGCGGTGTCGATATTTTTTGGTTCCCCCATGAGTGGGCAGCAAGCAGGGGAGGAAGCGACACATAGTTATCGCGCACATGTTGGGCCCGCGGTGGTAGCTTAGGGGGCCACCTAAGGGGCCCTTCATGGCCACTTTCCTGCAATCCTCCAGCCCCTTCCCCCCCCCCCCCCGCCCCCCGGGCTACTGCCCCCCAGCCCGTGAGGAACAGCGGTGCGAGATCCGCTGGCACAGCCCGCTGGGCGCACGCGCGCGCGGGTTCCTCCCCTCGCGCTCGTGTGGAACTGTCCTGGGGGTATCTCCAGCGAGGCCTGGGGGAGCGTACGCATACACAGAAGCACGTGCATTGTACCCCCCCCTGTTGCCGCACGCTTGGTTCTCTCTTCGCCACCCAGCAGACCACCCCAAAACCCAACCCGAAGTCCCCAATCTGTCCCCCATTTCCAGTGGGGGGGGCGGGGAACATTGGAAGAGCACGTGTGGAACCCGCCCCGCCACCCGAAATTCGGGTCTTGGGGTTGCGTTGGGGGTGGTCTGGTAGGTAGTCATCTCCATCTCTCTCTCTCTCTCTCTCTCTCTCTCGCGCCCCCCTCAGTGCGCCCGCGGGCTCGCGCACGAGGCTGCGCTCGCTGAGCGCTCGCCCCCTGCGGGCGCCCACCCTCCCGGCCCGCGGGCGGCCCCGCGCAGCCGCCCCCTCCCGCAGGGCGTCCCGCGCTCCTCCTGCCCAGAGGGCTCCTGGGCTCCCGTGCCGACCTCCTCCTCGGCGCGGCCGCCCCCTCGCCGCGGGCCTCCCGCCCCGCGCCTTCCTCGACGCGCGGGCCCCTTGCGCGACGCTGCGGCCACAAGCCAGCCGACACCCACGGGCCGCAAGCAGCCCAGCAGGGCGCCGCGACGGAGCAGCGGCACCGCTCGGACGAGCGGCGGATGGGCCCCGCGGCAAACCGAGCCGAACCGCGCTTGTCCACAGAGGCCCGAGATGCCCGTCGGCGGGAAGTGCCCACTGCATGGGAGAGGACGAGGGCCCAGGACGTGCCGCACAGGGCCCAGCGCCGCTCCTGGGCTGCGCGTTCGCGGCCGCCGGGCGCACGACGCTGCAGGGCCAGGCCCGCGAGCGCGGGCGCGGTGGGAGGGAGGGGGGGGCGCGGAGGCAGGGAGGGAGGGGGGGAGGACGAGGGAGGGGGAGGGGGAGGGTGGGAGGTAGGGGGAGGGGGAGCTGGGGGACCATAGCCCCAGCGCCCGCGGGTCCCCCCTGGTGAGTGGGGACCCACTCGGGTGCCCCCAGGCCTTCTTGGGGGAGGTGCGGGGGAGGGACAGGGAGGAGGGAGCGGGAGGGAGGGGGAGGGGACGCGGGCGCGGCGGGAGGAGGGGGGGAGGAGGGAGGGAGGGAGGGAGGTAGGGGCCAAGCTAGGTGCGCTCGCATCATATCTGACATCCTACCCCTCCCTCCCATCCCTTACCACGGCGTAGATCCCCTCTCTACTCGCACAGTCGGATGTCGAGCAGGTCAATGCTCCCGAAAGGGTACGCGATGCCTTGTAGAGCACGGCATGGCCTGGCGTAGAAGAGCACCGCTTTGACAGCATGGCGTGGCGTGGCGTAGTGAAGAATTGCATCACAAGCTTTGCAACGCAAAGCATGGCATCGCACAGCGGCCCCGAACATAACATTGCATAGCATGGCGTTGAAGATCAAAGCGTAGCATGGCATAGCATGACGTGGCACTTGAGCACTGGATATGACAGCTGCAGCTGAAGGCATGGCATCGCGCAGCTGAACGCAAGCTAGCATTGCATTGCATACCGTGGCATGGCACGGGAAATGACGCCAGCGCTGCAGCGGGAGCACGATTCGGAACGAGCGGAACCGCGGAAATGAGGCCAGCGCTGAAGGGGGAGCACGATTTGGAACGAGCGGAAGCACGGAAATGAGGCCAGCGTTGAAGGGGGAGGGGGAGGGGGAGGTCGGTCGGACGCAGGCTGGTGGCGCTCGGTCGTGCGCATCTGTTTAAGTCAGAAGGGGGAATAGCATACAGACATAATGAAGCGTCCATCCCCAAGAAGGTATGGGAAAATATGGAAAGTGGGGGGATGACAAAATACCCAGAACATACGGGAAAACATGGGGAATCATGTTATTTGTGTGTATGTATTTGCGTGTCCCAGGGCCCTTTCACTAAGTGAGGAGAAGAGCGGGGGGGGGGGGAAAGGGGGGAGGAGCATGGGACGCGGCAGGGGGAGAGGAGGCAGGATCCGTGCGCGCTGCGCCTGGTCGGTCCTGGCTGGGCTGGGCGGCCCATGCGCAGGACCCAGACCCCCGGCATCATGACTTTTTGCTGATGGCGCCGGCCCTCGGAGGTCCGGACCTCCCCCGGACCAGCTCTTCAGCCCGAGGGCCGAGAAGGGCCCCCAGACGCGTCGTTCATGGCCCTAGCAGGGTCTGGGGACGAGGGGATACGAGACTCCCTCCGGGCACCTGCTCGTCCTTCCGCTGCCAGGAGCAAAAGAAAGGCGTACACGTACATGAATCCATGTTGGTTTCGAGAGTTCGCATTGCGCGAATGTTCGTATCACGCGGCGGGTCTCGCGGGTCAAGGGGCCGTGTTCATGTACATAGCTGGGCGCGTACGTCCTTTGTGGGCTCCTTGGTCAGACGGGCCTGGGGAAGGCCTCTCAGGCAAGCGGGGTGCCCAAAGCTCCTCGGGGCCGGTTGGCCTCTGTGTCCTTCCCTCCTGCGGGCAAGGTCTGCACGGTAGGTTCATGCGGCACTGGCGCGCTGGCCATGCAGGCGCAAGCGTTGTTCAAGGTTGAATATTGCGACGCGGAAGCACTGAGGGACGCGGTGACGCCAGGGGACCCGATTGAAGTCAACCTTGAACGATCGGGGCCATGATCATCGATTCAAGGTTGAACGATCGACACGGTGTCGAAAATCTTTGCGCGTGCCAGAGCCGTGCGAACCTACTGTATCCGTATCCTTTGCTTCTTGGAGTTTTGGGCTCCCTTCCCTAGAAACCAGAGGCGCAGTGGATATGGAAAAACAACTGCACGTAGTGGCTAGATGTTTATCAGTATCCACGGCGCCTCGACTTTTTGGCGCTCCTTCCCAGACAGTCCAAGGCGCAGTGGATCTGAACATAAATCTTGCCCGCACCGCCTTCCCTTGTCGTCCCTCCTCGAGTGCCCGACCGTGCCTCTCCAGGAGAAAAATCACCGGCATCCGCAGAAGTTTTCGACGATTTCTTGAATCTGCGCTGGAAGTCCCTGGCGGCGCCGCCGGAGAGGGGTCCAGCGCCGATCCAACCAAGCGGCCCTTCGACAGTTGATGTTTGCTTTATCTTGTATTCTACCCCCTGACCTTCCCTACAACTGTGGATGCGCACCTCCCTTGGTCGTCGACACCGTCTCCCCCTCTCCCTACTGCCCTACCCTTGCCTCTTCCCCTCGTCCTCCATTCGCGACGCCATTCGCGCGTAAGTTTTGCGCGTAAGGTCGCGAGTAAGCGCCCTCGCTTAATGTGTGACGTGCCGCGCTGGCGGCCCGCGTAAGCCACCGCGTAAGGTCGCTGCGGCATCTCGTGTAAGACGCGTTTTTGACCGTCGCTCACTTGTTCCCGTCCCCTTCGCCCTCCTCCTCTCCCCCCACACCTGGATTTTCGATCTCTGGCTGACGCCTCTCCCCCCCCCCCGTCTTCCTGATGGGCTTGCGCGGGAACCGCACCCTTTCGGTGCTCTGTGCTGAGCCCTGCTGGGCCCCCCTGTGCGTTTAGCACCTCCGTTCGGCCCCTCCCGTTCCCTCGGGTTCGGTTGGGGCTCCCCTTCTGGACCCCCCGCGTCGTCCTCTATGCTCCCGCTCATGGGAGGGCCTCTGGGCCAGCATGCCTGCCGCCCCGCGCCGCACCGAGGCCGCTGCTGCTCCGGCCGCTTCCCGCACACCTGGCGAACCACGGCGGTGCAGGCCGAGCGCCCCGGCCGGGATCAGCGCGATCGGCCCTGCCTGGTCTCGAGGGGGGAAATCAGCTGCACAAGCATAGCATCCCGGAGCTCCGCGTGCGTCTTCTGAGTCGGCGCTGGGCCTCCCTGCTGGCGTCTCCGGCGCCGCCCCTGCGCGCTCCGCGCGCCAGGGGTGGGGTGTCAGCGCAGGTTCTGGACATCCACGCGGACCTCCTCTGTGTTCTTCGTCTCTTTTTTTCTGGTCGTTCTCCCTACTTTTTCTTGCGGTGCCTCCTCTGCCTCCAGCGATCGATGCCCGTTGGGCATTGCTGCCCTCATAGGGAAGCAGTGTGTGTGAGTTCATCGCCGTGCTGTTCCCAGCAGACACGCTTGCAGATTTGCTATCTGCTCCACTCCGTTCTGCTCGTCTGCCTCCTCTTGTCTTCCTCTCTCCCTCCTCCTTCCCACTCCTCCTTTCCAATTACCTCCGACTCCGCCCTCACCCACCCGCCTCTCCATCCTCCTCGTTCTATTCCTCAACATGGTCTTCATCTTGCTTCTCCCTCTTCCCATTCCTGCGCCCTGCTTGCGCAGTGTGATGTTGCCGCATTCGCTTCTGTCGATTGGGTACTACGTAGCACTTTTTGACGTAGAGATTCGCCCTCGCGCTTGTTGGCTGCCACGTATGGGTTCCATGGATGTGTATTCACGAGCTTGCGTCATAATGCTCGGCGCAGTCACCTAGCGTTTTCGACCGCGCACCAGCATTGTTTACGACGAGTGGTTGTCTCCCACTCCCTTGTTTGTTCCTCTCTTCCGCGTCCTCGTGTCTCTTCTCCGTTGTCCTCCCAATTCCCCATCACTTCTTCTCTCTTCTCCCCCTCTTCCTGTTCCCCTTTCCCTCGAACCTCGCTCTCCCCATCCCCGCCCCTTCGTCTCTTCACCCTCCGCCATCCCCACCCCACGCTGTTCGTGCCCAGTTTGCGTCGTCTGGCTGCGCTTTCGAGCTTTCGGTCGCGGGTGGCTGGCACAGGTCGGGACGTCTTCGAAGCAGGAACATGTCGAGGTCGTATGCCCGCTCTTTGGAGTGGCCTCTGTGGTGTCGCTGGTCATGCTGTCGCGGCTTGGCGCCAGGCTGCACCTGGCACGGGAAATTGGGTCGTGCAGAGGGCCCGCTTCACCCCACGTTGCCCCCGTCCCATCCCCCTCCATGCCGGGGACGCGCTTGCGCGCCCCAACGAGACGCGGGAGGGAGCGAGGAGGAGGAGAGAAGGCACTCGCACACACACGCACACAGAGGTGCAGGGATGCCCACACACGTACACACTTTTCCTAGCGTGTTGGTGGGTCACAATCAGCGGAGCAGATTCAACTGAGACGGGACGCGTTCGAAGTCTATCACCCTACTGGACGCGCGCACACGCGCTTGCACACACGTGCACGCTGTTGGGCTTCGCGAGCGGGGCAAGGCAGCCGAACGGCAGATCGGTAGTTCCGGGCCTGGCTAGAGCAAGGGAAAGCCGAGCAAGGCTCGGGGACTCACACGATGCAGCACAGGCCAAGAGCGGGCCAGCAGCAGGACGACAAGGGGGCAGCGAGACAGGGGCGACGTGGGCTAAGCAGAGCGCGAGGTGGGAGGCGAGGAGCGAGGAGCGACACGGAGCAGCCGAGGGAGACAGGCGCAGGAGACACACGGACAGGCGCGAGGGACAGCGGGCCGACCGGCGGAGGAGGGGGAGCCGGGGGAAGAGAGGAGACACAGCACCCTGAGGGCACGGGGAGGCACGAGGCCGAAAGGAGGAGCAAGCCGAGGAGGAAGGCGATGGAGGATGACAAGAAACATACACCCTAGGCGATGCTTAAGAAAACTTAAGTTTTCGGCCAGAGTCTCGATTATTCTTAATGTTTCAATGTAAATCCTAAGATTTCAATCGAAATCATTGGTCTTTACTCAAATTCTGAGACTATGAATTTCTTAACCCATGATTTCTTAAGCACTTCGCACGGTGTATCTATATCCCGGGGGACCGAGGCTCCCTGGCCGGGCCCAAGGACCTCCGCACCGCCTGGGAGGACAGGGGCCCCGAGACCGCACGCAGACTCTGTCCAAGCACGCTGCAGCTCGAGAAAAGAGCCCGAGAGGGGTGCAACACGCCCAAGATGGCGCAAAGACAGCCTCAGAGGCTCCCAAAGCGCACCCAGAGAGGCCCAAGAGACTTCCCAAGGGAGCCGCTCAAGGCGGAAATCGTCAAAGTCCGATGGAAAACTTACAATTTTACAATGCACTGGTAGACGGCTTGGGCGCGCTGCATGGCAGCCCAGGAGGCTCCCAAAACCGCCCCAGACGCCTCAAGACGCCCCCGAGAGGTCCCCAGGAGGCCGCCAAGACAGACCAAGAGGGCACCACAACAGCCCAAGACGCGCCTAAGACGGCCCAAGAGAGACCCAAGACGGCCCCCCCAGGCCGCCAGCAGGTCCCCAACAAGCCCCAAGACGCCCCCAAGAGCTCCAGAAGAGGCCCCGAGAGGCTCCCGAACGGCCCCCAACACGCCCCAAGAGGCTTCCTTTCTCGTGAGACCGGCGCTTCGTGCCCTCTTCCTCATCCTCCTCCTCCTCCTTCATCCTCCTCCTCTCCCTCCCCCTCCTCCCTCCTCCTCCTCCTCCTCATCCTCCTCCTCCTCTCCCCTCCTCCTCCTCCTCCTCCTCCTCCCTCCTCCTCCTCCTCCTCCTCCTCCTCCCCCCTCCTCCTCCCCCTGCTCCTCCTGCTCCTCCTGCTCCTCCTCCTCCTCCTCCTCCTCCTCCTCCTCCTCCTCCTCCTCCTCCTCCTCCTCCTCCCCCTGCTCCTCCTGCTACTTCTCCTTCTCCTCCTCCTCCTCCATCCTCCTCCTTCTCCTTCTCCTCTCCTCCCTTTCCTTTTCCTCCTCCTCTTCCTCCTCCTCCTCCTCCTGCTCCTCCTCTCCCTCCTCCTCCTCCTCCTCCTCCTCCTCCTCCTCCTTTTCCTCCTCTTCCTCCGCCTCCCGGGTCCTGGGCCCAGTTCCGCGCGGCGCCCGCGCCCGTTCCCGCGCCCGCCCCTGCCTTCCGGGCCCTCCCTGAGCCAGCTGGTGTCGCACCACGGCGGCGACGACGACGACGACGACGATTGAGACTGCGGCGACGACGACGACTGAGACTGCGACGACGACGACGACTGAGACTGCGACGGCGAGTGCGACGACGACTGCGACGACGACGACGACGACGACGACGACGACGAGTGCGACGACAACGACGACGACGACGACGACGACGACGACGACGACGACTGCGAAAGACCTCCAGCGCGATCTCCTTCGGGGAAGGAACGCGCAGCAGCACGGAGAAGGAGTCGCGCCAGGGCTCTTCGGACTTGCAGCCGTAGAGATTTGCTGTGGTTGCGGAGAGCCCTGGAGAAGCTATGACTAGAACCTACGCGCGCGCGTGGGTTCAAGTACATATATATATAGATATATATATATATATATATATATATGTATGTATCTATGTATGTATGTATGTATGTATTTATGTATGTATATATATATATATATATATATATGAAGATGAGGGGGGAGAATAGGGGGTGGGCCCAGCCCAGCCCACGCGCGCACATGCACGCACAAGCCTCCCGACGGCCTCCCCGTGAAGATCCCCAGCCGCGGGAGAGGGCCTGCCCCCGAGGGCCCACCCCCCGGCCAGTCCCGAGCCAGCGCCGACCGTCCGGCTCGCCGACGGCCTTCCCGACGCCCTTCCCGACGCCTAGCCCGACGCCCAGCCCGACGTATCCATTGGGTTGGCCGACGCCACAACCAACGTTTCCTCCAGCAGCTCCTATGGCGGGCGGAGCTGCCGGAGGCGTGGCTGCCACCGGCGATCCCCGCCTTCAAAATGTTTACGGCGAGCGGTTCGATTTAATGCAGGCGGGCAAACACGTTCTGATCAACATCCCTCGTGGAGTGAGCGCTGAAGACGCATTGCTTATTGTGCAGGCCGATGCGCGCCGCCTGGGTGGAAGTTGTTCGGATATGTATTTCCAAGAACTGAACATTACAGGCTCTTGGGCAGAGGTTATGCAAGTTGGAGGATATCACTATGGCGCACGGCAAAGTGTTACGACGGTTCCGCAATGGGTTGCTATTGGCCAGGTAGAGCCGAAAGTCGTCCATGGATGCACAGAGAGTGGCATCATGTACTTGAACCTGTATGTGAAGCATTTAGGGCGATCAGGGTTTGCCGTCGGAGGCTTGCTTGGGAAAAAAGACCACAAGGACGCGATGACTCCCCCGGCGTCCTGTACCAAACACACCCGTCTGGCAGAAACAGTGGCGAGTGGCCAGGCTCCTTCCTCCGACTCGTCAGTTGCCACGGCAACCTTCGCGTGACCACGCGGAGTATTATAACACGTGGGGATGTGGCACGTACGCCCCTTCGGGCGACGCATGCTGTAGTGTTCTTCTGATCCAGAGAAAAAGAAAAATAATACCCCCCCAAAGTGCACACACTGTTTGGGCAAGAGGCCTCTAAAACAGTTCGCGGATGCTGGACAGGACCCCTAGTGCCATCTGAGAGCGTGATGGAGGTGTGGCTTCAGACCGACGTCCCCGAGGCCTTTGAAAAGTCACGTGGCATCCTACTCCCCCAAATATCAGTCTTCTCTGCCCTTCCTTCGCCCCCTCTGCCTCCTTTTCAGGGGGAGCGTTAGGCCGATTGCCCAGAGAGGACGCCTCAAGTGTCCTCAGTGATTTTCCGGTCGCGGTCTGCATGCGTCCGCACTTGCGCACATGCCTCACGTGAAGGCCCTGGCGAGGTTGATCTGCTGCCCTCGATGAGGCCGCCACAAAGCCCGCGCTGGAACATAATGTGTAGGCAATATTATTGCATAGCAGACGTAGTAGTGTTGCGGCGGCTAGGGCCAAGTCAGACAAAGCTGAGTCGCCCCACGCGCCGGCCGTGGTGTGAATATTGTCCCGTTGTTCGTCTGGATGGTTATCCCGACAGTTGTCCGGACGGTTGTTCCCGCAACGGTTGTCCCGATGGCGGTCTTCAATTCAGGCCCCCCCCCCTCGGAGGCTCAAAAAGGGCGTCTCGGGGCCCTCTGGGGGCCCTCTGGGGGCGCTCTCGGGCGCTCTTGGGGCCCTCTTGGGGCCGTCTTGAGGCCATCTTGAGGCCTCCGAGGCCCATCGGAAGCGACAAGGGGAGAAGGCACACATCACACCTGTTGCTTTGGTGGTGGAGCCATTTTTGCCTCGTGGTGGGGTCCTTGGAGGGTTCGGAGGGCACCTGAAACCGTTTTGGTGGTTGAGCCATTTTTGCCTCCTGGATGTGCGTCGGAGGCTATCTTGAGCCATTTGGAGCTATCCTGAGCCATCTTGGAGGCCGTCTTTTGGTCTCTGAGGTCCTCCTGGAGCCATGGGCTCCAGCGCCTCGCGCCCCCCCCATCCCAGGCCCAGGGGGGAGGGGTCGGGGGAGGGTCAAGACACGTTCCTGGAAAGCAAGCCGTCTAGCTCAGTCCCACCCGCCCTCCCAACATAGAAGTAACACCCGAGTCTGAGCATGTTCAGCGGTCGTTTTTGGATGGACAGCTACTGGGGACCAAAGCTGGCCCCATGTGCGCGACGCTGGGGCGAGGTGCGCCACGCGTGCCAGGCGCGCCGCGCGCGCCAGGCACCCCTGGGGCCCGAGCGTGCCCGACGAGGTGCGCCACGTCGGGGCACGTGCAGAGTGTGTCAGGTGCTCCTGCGCACGTGACAGCACACATCGGGAAACGTGCCGGCCCCCACCATCCACGTCGAAAGCTATGCCTGTCATTGTGTATGGTGGGCCTGCGCACACCGCTTGGCAGTGATCGCGGGGCGGCCGCGCACGTTCCAGATTTAGCCGCGAGGTTCATTTGGTCTGTTTTTTTTTTTTTGTCAGGGATGGTAGCCCTGTGTCAGGTGCACTTTGCCTCAAAGTGTCTTGTGTATTGCTTTTGACAGGGATGGTTGGGTTGTGGCCCTCTTGGGGTCCGCCTTGTTTCTGGTTGGCTGCCGGTCGCCTTGGGGGGGGGGTATATCTATCGGGGCCAGTGATTAACCCCTCCCCCGAGCAGGGAAGGAGGGGTTTTGGCTGAGAGAGGGAGAGAGAGAGAGAGAGAGAATTCAAAAAAACAACATCCATTAAACCACCTGCACGCAGAGGGCTGGTAGGATTCGCGAAACATCATGCATCCCGGTACGGGCATCCTGGTTCAGGCAGGTTTGGTGCAGCTTCCATTTTGTCCGCAATCTAATTACACACACACACGCGAAGACATTCGGCTTGCGGGTCCTTTCCTTTCTGTTCAGTGGGATGGCGGTCCAGAAGGCACCTTGGACCGTGTGGTCCGCGTTTGCAGTTGTCCTCAGCATCAGCGTACCCACTGCGACCTCGATCGGTGTGAGTCCCAAGCCGAAGTGTGCAGATGACGACGCCCAAATTATTACGCTGGCTAACGGCATCGGCGTTAAGATCGGAGGTTGTGCTGAGGTGCAGCCTTATTGCGAAGATGCGGCGTATGGCAGCACTGTGCAGGCGACCTGCCCTGCAACGTGTGGCCTCTGCAGGGTGGCCAGCCCCAGCAGCTCCCAAGCGGCCAAGGTGCTGATGGACAGGAGCTCCAGGGGCTCTCGGGACGCGGATGCTCAACAGTCCTTGGACAGGGCTCTGGCGGCGAAAGGGCCCGACCCGACGCCGAGGCCGACGCCGTGGCCGACGCCGTGGCCGACCGACGCCGAGGCCGACGCCGTGGCCGACGCCGTGGCCGACGCGGTACCCGACGCCGTACCCGACGCCCAAGCCGACGCCGTGGCCGACGCCGAGGCCGACGCCGTATCCGACGCCGAGGCCGACGCCGTATCCGACGCCGAAGCCGACGCCGAACCCGACGCCGAACCCGACGCCATACCCGACGCCGTACCCCACGCCGAACCCGACGCCGAACCCGACGCCGTACCCGACGCCGTACCCGACGCCGTACCCTACGGCTTTCCCGACGCCGTACCCGACGGCCTTCCCGACGCCGTACCCGACGGCTTTCCCGACGCCGTACCCCACGGCCTTCCCGACGCCCTACCCGACGGCTTTCCCGACGCCGTACCCTACGGCCTTCCCGACGCCCTACCCGACGGCTTTCCCGACGCCCTACCCAACAGCTTTCCCGACGGCCTTCCCGACGCCCTTCCCGACGCCTAGCCCGACGCCCAGCCCGACGTATCCATTGGGTTGGCCGACGCCACAACCAACGTTTCCTCCAGCAGCTCCCATGGCGGGCGGAGCTGCCGGAGGCGTGGCTGCCACCGGCGATCCCCACCTTCAAAATGTTTACGGCGAGCGGTTCGATTTAATGCAGGCGGGCAAACATGTTCTGATAAACATCCCTCGTGGAGTGAGCGCTGAAGACGCATTGCTTCTTGTGCAGGCCGATGCGCGCCGCTTGGGTGGAAGTTGTTCGGATATGTATTTCCAAGAACTGAACATTACAGGCTCTTGGGCAGAGGCTAAGCAAGTTGGAGGGTATCACTATGGCGTACGGCAAAGCGTTACGACGTTCCGCAATGGGTTGCTATTGGCCAGGTAGAGCTGAAAGTCGTCCATGGACGCACAGAGAGTGGCATCATGTACTTGAACTTGTATGTGAAGCATTTAGGGCGATCAGGGTTTGCCGTCGGAGGCTTGCTTGGGGAAGAAGACCACAAGGACGCGATGACTCCCCCGGCGTCCTGTACCAAACACACTCGTCTGGCAGAAGCAGTGCGAGTGGCCAGGCTCCTTCCTCCGACTCGTCAGTTGCCACGGCAACCTTCGCGTGACCATGCGGAGTATTATAACACGTGGGGATGTGGCACGTACGCCCCTTCGGGCGACGCATGCTGCAGTGTTCTTCTGATCCAGAGAAAAAGGAAAAATAGTACCCCCCCAAAGTGCACACACTGTTTGGGCAATAGGCCTCTAAAACAGTTCGCGGATGCTGGACATGATCCCTAGTGCCATCTCAGAGCGTGATGGAGGTGTGGCTTCAGACCGACGTCCCCGAGGCCTTTGAAACAGTCACGTGGCATCCTACTCCCCCAAATATCAGTCTTCTCTGCCCTTCCTTCGCCCCCCCTCCCTCCTTTCAGGAGGAACGTGAGGCCGATTGCCCAGAGAGGACGCCTCAAGTGTCCTCAGTGATTTTCCGGTCGCGGTCTGCATGCGTCCGCACTTGCGCACATGCCTCACGTGAAGGCCCTGGCGAGGTTGATCTGCTGCCCTCGATGAGGCCGCCACAAAGCCCGCGCTGGAACAGAAGGTGTAGGCAAGACTATTGCGTAGCACACGTAGTAGTGTTGCGGCGGCTAGGGCCTCTAGGGCCAAGTCAGACAAAGCTGAGTCGCCCCACGCGCCGGCCGTGGTGTGAATATTGTCCCGTCGTTTGTCTGGATGGTTATCCCAACAGTTGTCCGGACGGTTGTTCCCGCAACGGTTGTCCCGATGGTGGTCTTCAATTCAGGCTCCCCCCTCGGAGGCTCAAAAAGGGCGTCTCGGGGCCCTCTGGGGGCCCTCTGGGGGCGCTCTCGGGCGCTCTTGGGGCCCTCTTGGGGCCGTCTTGAGGCCATCTTGAGGCCTCCGAGGCCCATCGGAAGCGACAAGGGGAGAAGGCACACATCACACCTGTTGCTTTGGTGGTGGAGCCATTTTTGCCTCGTGGTGGGGTCCTTGGAGGGCTCGGAGGGCACTTGAAACCGTCTTGGTGGTTGAGCCATTTTTGCCTCCTGGATGTGCGTCGGAGGCTATCTTGAGCCATCTGGAGTTATCCTGAGCCATCTTGGAGGCCGTCTTTTGGTCTCTGAGGTCCTCCTGGAGCCATGGGCTCCAGCGCCTCGCGCCCCCCCCCTCCCAGGCCCAGGAGGGAGGGGGTCGGGGGAGGGTCAAGACACGCTCCTGGAAAGCAAGCCGTCTAGCTCAGTCCCACCCGCCCTCCCAACACAGAAGTAACACCCGAGTCTGAGCATGTTCAGCGGTCGTCTTTGGATGGACAGCTACTGGGAACCAAAGCTGGCCCCATGTGCGCGACGCTGGGGCGAGGTGCGCCACGCGTGCCAGGCGCGCCACGCGCGCCAGGCACCCCTGGGGCCCGAGCGTGCCCGACGAGGTGCGCCACGTCGGGGCACGTGCAGAGTGTGTCAGGTGCTCCTGCGCACGTGACAGCACACATCGGGAAACATGCCGGCCCCCACCATCCACGTCGAAAGCTATGCCCGTCATTGTGTCTGGTGGGCCTGCGCACACCGCTTGGCAGTGATCGCGGGGCGGCCGCGCATGTTCCAGATTTAGCCGCGAGGTCCATTTGGTATGTTTTTTGTCAGGGATGGTAGCCCTGTGTCAGGTGCACTTTGCCTCAAAGTGTCTTGTGTATTGCTTTTGACAGGGATGGTTGGGTTGTGGCCCTCTTAGGGGTCCGCATTGTTTCTGGTTGGCTGCCGGTCGCCTTGGGGGGGGGGGTATATCTATCGGGGCCAGTGATTAACCCCTCCCCCGAGCAGGGAAGGAGGGGTTCTGGCAGGGAGAGAGAGAGAGAGAGAGAGAGAGAATAAAAAAAACAACATCCATTAAACCACCTGCACGCAGAGGACTGGTAGGATTCGCGAAACATCATGCGTCCCGGTACGGGCATCCTGGTTCAGGCAGGTTTGGTGCAGCTTCCATTTTGTCCGCAATCTAATTACACACACACACACACACACGCGAAGACATTCGGCTTGCGGGTCCTTTCCTTTCTGTTCAGTGGGATGGCGGTCCAGAAGGCACTTCGGACCGTGTGGTCCGCGTTTGCAGTTATCCTCAGCATCAGCGTACCCACTGCGACCTCGATCGGTGTGAGTTCCAAGCCGAAGTGTGCAGATGACGACGCCCAAATTATTGCGCTGGCTAACGGCATCGGCGTTAAGATCGGAGGTTGTGCTGAGGTGCAGCCTTATTGCGAAGATGCGGCGTATGGCAGCACTGTGCAGGCGACCTGCCCTGCAACGTGTGGCCTCTGCAGGGTGGCCAGCCCCAGCAGCTCCCAAGCGGCCAAGGTGCTGATGGACAGGAGCTCCAGGGGCTCTCGGGACGCGGATGCTCAACAGTCCTTGGACAGGGCTCTGGCGGCGAAAGGGCCCGACCCGACGCCGAGGCCGACGCCGTGGCCGACGCCGTGGCCGACACGGTGGCCCACGCCGAGGCCGACGCCGTGGCCGACGCCGTGGCCGACGCGGTACCCGACGCCGTACCCGACGCCCAAGCCGACGCCGTGGCCGACGCCGAGGCCGACGCCGTATCCGACGCCGAGGCCGACGCCGTATCCGACGCCGAAGCCGACGCCGAACCCGACGCCGAATCCGACGCCATACCCGACGCCGTACCCCACGCCGAACCCGACGCCGAACCCGACGCCGTACCCGACGCCGTACCCGACGCCGTACCCTACGGCTTTCCCGACGCCGTACCCGACGGCCTTCCCGACGCCGTACCCGACGGCTTTCCCGACGCCGTACCCCACGGCCTTCCCGACGCCCTACCCGACGGCTTTCCCGACGCCGTACCCTACGGCCTTCCCGACGCCCTACCCGACGGCTTTCCCGACGCCCTACCCAACAGCTTTCCCGACGGCCTTCCCGACGCCCTTCCCGACGCCTAGCCCGACGCCCAGCCCGACGTATCCATTGGGTTGGCCGACGCCACAACCAACCTTTCCTCCAGCAGCTCCTATGGCGGGCGGAGCTGCCGGAGGCGTGGCTGCCACCGGCGATCCCCACCTTCAAAATGTTTACGGCGAGCGGTTCGATTTAATGCAGGCGGGCAAACATGTTCTGATCAACATCCCTCGTGGAGTGAGCGCTGAAGACGCATTGCTTATTGTGCAGGCCGATGCGCGCCGCTTGGGTGGAAGTTGTTCGGATATGTATTTCCAAGAACTGAACATTACAGGCTCTTGGGCAGAGGCTAAGCAAGTTGGAGGGTATCACTATGGCGCACGGCAAAGCGTTACGACGGTTCCGCAATGGGTTGCTATTGGCCAGGTGGAGCTGAAAGTCGTCCATGGACGCACAGGGAGTGGCATCATGTACTTGAACTTGTATGTGAAGCATTTAGGGAGATCAGGGTTTGCCGTCGGAGGCTTGCTTGGGGAAGAAGACCACAAGGACGCGATGACTCCCCCGGCGTCCTGTACCAAACACACTCGTCTGGCAGAAGCAGTGGCGAGTGGGCAGGCTCCTTCCTCCGACTCGTCAGTTGCCACGGCAACCTTCGCGTGACCATGCGGAGTATTATAACACGTGGGGATGTGGCACGTACGCCCCTTCGGGCGACGCATGCTGTAGTGTTCTTCTGATCCTGAGAAAAAAGAAAAATAGTACCCCCCCCCAAAGTGCACACACTGTTTGGGCAAGAGGCCTCTAAAACAGTTCGTGGATGCTGGACATGACCCCTAGTGCCATCTGAGAGCGTGATGGAGGTGTGGCTTCAGACCGACGTCCCCGAGGCCTTTGAAACAGTCACGTGGCATCCTACTCCCCCAAATATCAGTCTTCTCTGCCCTTCCTTCGCCCCCCCTCCCTCCTTTCAGGAGGAACGTGAGGCCGATTGCCCAGAGAGGACGCCTCAAGTATCCTCAGTGATTTTCCGGTCGCGGTCTGCATGCGTCCGCACTTGCGCACATGCCTCACGTGAAGGCCCTGGCGAGGTTGATCTGCTGCCCTCGATGAGGCCGCCACAAAGCCCGCGCTGGAGCAGAAGGTGTAGGCAAGAATATTGCATAGCACACGTAGTAGTGTTGCGGCGGCTAGGGCCTCTAGGGCCAAGTCAGACAAAGCTGAGTCGCCCCACGCGCCGGCCGTGGTGTGTATATTGTCCCGTCGTTTGTCTGGATGGTTATCCCGACAGTTGTCCGGACGGTTGTTCCCGCAACGGTTGTCCCGATGGTGGTCTTCAATTCTAGACGCTTCGCGTATCCCCACCAGCCCGTCCAGAAACGACGCCCAGGCGAGTAGAGGGTCGTCCTGAGGGGCTTTCCGGCGTCTGGGGTGCCTCGGGGGGGCCTCTGTGGGCCGCTCGGGATCCTCTTTGGGGCCTCCTGGGGGCCTCTTGGGGCCTCTTGGGGCCATCTTGGGGCCTTTGGGGGCCTCCGGGGCGCTTCTTGGGGCCATCTTTGCCCCTTGGGTGCCTCTGGGGGGTCTCTTGGGGCCTCTTGGGGGTCTCTTGGGGGCCTCCTGGGGGCCTCTTGGGGGGCCTCCTGGGGCCATCTTGGGGCCATCCTGAGGGGATCTGTCAAAGACAGCGGAAGCACTAATTAGCGTCGCTCCTGGAAAGCCTCTAAAATCGCCCCCTGAACCGCTCTTGGAGGGCTCTTGGAGCGCTCTTGGGCGCTCTTTGCGCCGTCTTCGGGCTTTCTTGGGCCCTTCTTGGAGCTATCTTGAGCCATCTTGGAGCTATCTTGACACCTCGGGTGGGCATCGGAAGCGAAAGCGCGAGAACGCCAAAAGCATTGATTTTCCCTAGGGTTTTGAAACATTTTGGCTTCTTGGGGGCACCCGAGGGGAGCTCTAGTGGACACTTAGAGCCGTCTTGGGGCGGTCTTGGAGCGTCTTGGAGCATCTTCGGAACCATCTTGAGGCATCTTGCGCTATCTTGAACCATCTTGGAGGCGATCTTGGGCTCCCTGAGGCCCTCTTGGAGTCGTCTTGGCTCATCTTGGACGCTCCAACGCGTCGCGGCCCCCCCTGTCCAGGTCAGTGGGGAGGGGGTAGGGGGAGGGGTAAACCCCTCCCCGAAGGGGAAGAAGGAGGGGTGGAAGAGGAAACGCTCTAAACCACCGACGCCCAGAGGGCTGGTGGGATTCAGGCCCCCCCCTCGGAGGCTCAAAAAAGGGCGTCTCGGGGCCCTCTGGGGGCCCTCTGGGGGCGCTCTCGGGCGCTCTTGGGGCCCTCTTGGGGCCGTCTTGAGGCCATCTTGAGGCCTCCGAGGCCCATCGGAAGCGACAAGGGGAGAAGGCACACATCACACCTGTTGCTTTGGTGGTGGAGCCATTTTTGCCTCGTGGTGGGGTCCTTGGAGGGCTCGGAGGGCACTTGAAACCGTCTTGGTGGTTGAGCCATTTTTGCCTCCTGGATGTGCGTCGGAGGCTATCTTGAGCCATCTGGAGTTATCCTGAGCCATCTTGGAGGCCGTCTGTTGGTCTCTGAGGTCCTCCTGGAGCCATGGGCTCCAGCGCCTCGCGCCCCCCCCCTCCCAGGCCCAGGGGGGAGGGGGTCGGGGGAGGGTCAAGACACGCTCCTGGAAAGCAAGCCGTCTAGCTCAGTCCCACCCGCCCTCCCAACACAGAAGTAACACCCGAGTCTGAGCATGTTCAGCGGTCGTCTTTGGATGGACAGCTACTGGGAACCAAAGCTGGCCCCATGTGCGCGACGCTGGGGCGAGGTGCGCCACGCGTGCCAGGCGCGCCACGCGCGCCAGGCACCCCTGGGGCCCGAGCGTGCCCGACGAGGTGCGCCACGTCGGGGCACGTGCAGAGTGTGTCAGGTGCTCCTGCGCACGTGACAGCACACATCGGGAAACATGCCGGCCCCCACCATCCACGTCGAAAGCTATGCCCGTCATTGTGTTGGTGGGCCTGCGCACACCGCTTGGCAGTGATCGCGGGGCGGCCGCGCATGTTCCAGATTTAGCCGCGAGGTCCATTTGGTATGGTTTTTTGTCAGGGATGGTAGCCCTGTGTCAGGTGCACTTTGCCTCAAAGTGTCTTGTGTATTGCTTTTGACAGGGATGGTTGGGTTGTGGCCCTCTTGGGGTCCGCAATGTTTCTGGTTGGCTGCCGGTCGCCTTGGGGGGGGGTATATCTATCGGGGCCAGTGATTAACCCCTCCCCCGAGCAGGGAAGGAGGGGTTTTGGCAGGGAGAGAGAGAGAGAGAGAGAGAGAGAGAGAGAGAGAGAGAAAAAAAGCAACATCCGTTAAACCACCTGCACGCAGAGGGCTGGTAGGATTCGCGAAACATCATGCATCCCGGTACGGGCATCCTGGTTCAGGCAGGTTTGGTGCAGCTTCCATTTTGTCCGCAATCTAATTACACACACACACACACACGCGAAGACATTCGGCTGGCGGGTCCTTTCCTTTTTGTTCAGTGGGATGGCGGTCCAGAAGGCACCTTGGACCGTGTGGTCCGCGTTTGCAGTTGTCCTCAGCATCAGCGTACCCACTGCGACCTCGATCGGTGTGAGTTCCAAGCCGAAGTGTGCAGATGACGACGCCCAAATTATTGCGCTGGCTAACGGCATCGGCGTTAAGATCGGAGGTTGTGCTGAGGTGCAGCCTTATTGCGAAGATGCGGCGTATGGCAGCACTGTGCAGGCGACCTGCCCTGCAACGTGTGGCCTCTGCAGGGTGGCCAGCCCCAGCAGCTCCCAAGCGGCCAAGGTGCTGATGGACAGGAGCTCCAGGGGCTCTCGGGACGCGGATGCTCAACAGTCCTTGGACAGGGCTCTGGCGGCGAAAGGGCCCGACCCGACGCCGAGGCCGACGCCGTGGCCGACGCCGTGGCCGACGCGGTGGCCCACGCCGAGGCCGACGCCGTGGCCGACGCCGTGGCCGACGCGGTACCCGACGCCGTACCCGACGCCCAAGCCGACGCCGTGGCCGACGCCGAGGCCGACGCCGTATCCGACGCCGAGGCCGACGCCGTATCCGACGCCCAAGCCGACGCCGAACCCGACGCCGAATCCGACGCCATACCCGACGCCGTACCCCACGCCGAACCCGACGCCGAACCCGACGCCGTACCCGACGCCGTACCCGACGCCGTACCCTACGGCTTTCCCGACGCCGTACCCGACGGCCTTCCCGACGCCCTACCCGACGGCTTTCCCGACGCCGTACCCCACGGCCTTCCCGACGCCTTACCCGACGGCTTTCCCGACGCCGTACCCTACGGCCTTCCCGACGCCCTACCCGACGGCTTTCCCGACGCCCTACCCAACAGCTTTCCCGACGGCCTTCCCGACGCCCTTCCCGACGCCTAGCCCGACGCCCAGCCCGACGTATCCATTGGGTTGGCCGACGCCACAACCAACGTTTCCTCCAGCAGCTCCTATGGCGGGCGGAGCTGCCGGAGGCGTGGCTGCCACCGGCGATCCCCACCTTCAAAATGTTTACGGCGAGCGGTTCGATTTAATGCAGGCGGGCAAACATGTTCTGATCAACATCCCTCGTGGAGTGAGCGCTGAAGACGCATTGCTTATTGTGCAGGCCGATGCGCGCCGCTTGGGTGGAAGTTGTTCGGATATGTATTTCCAAGAACTGAACATTACAGGCTCTTGGGCAGAGGCTA